CCCATATTAACACTAATGCACCTTGAATTCCTTGAAAATCTGAAAATTGGCGAAGTTCAAAATGTCATATACAAATCGGCTTTTCCTTTGATTCGGGCCCCCACGATGACTTTTCTTATACATTGTGAAGCTTACCGAGTCACGATTGCCTGATCCTCGCCCGACATGTTTTGATGCATGAATAGTTATTGCGGAAAAACCAAAAAGAGGTCTCATGGATTGCAACTTGCATGACCATGAAAACCTACGACTTTCTTTCTAGGATTTCTCCCCATCCTAGCGGCCATCATGTGCCTGGTATATACCAAAAAAAAGGTCTCAACGAGGGGCATTATATCAAAATTTCAACTCAATCTATTTTACTACTTGCAAAATACGAAGGCATGAAACTTCCACAAGTTTGGACAAAGTCGCATAAAATGCTATTTTTGGGTGTGTATAGATGGCATACTCGGCACACTACACCACAACCCTTGTTCTCGCAAAGTAGGCGGTGCAAGTATCCATTTAGGACCTATTTGGTTGGATAGGAGGAAATTAGAAATCTTACATATTTGAAATCCAAGAAAATCTGTGGATTTTCAATATCAATGATTTTTGACATAGTCTCCTCAAATCTCCTATTTCGATAAACTATAAAAAATTAATGGATTCCTTGCAGTGACTCTGTCCAATGTTTGGTAACAAAACTTGACAAACATTCTCTCTCTAAAATTTGTATATACTTTTTCTCTCTGAAACTCAAAATTTGAGATAGTGTATCTATAATTTTTTTAAGATAGTTTCTCTCTCTAAAATTTGATATTGTTTGTCTCTCTAAAATTTAATATACTTTCTATTCAAAATTTAAAATTGTCTATCTAAAATTTTTGAGATAATTTCTCTCCAAAATTTTTAGATGCTTTAGTCTCTCTAAAATTTAATATAGTTTATCTGCCTAAAATTTTATAATACTCCATCTCTCAAGCTTAAAACTTGATATAGCTTCCCTCTTCAATAATTTTGATAATAGTTTATCTCTCTAAACATTTTTAAGTAGTTTCTCTATCTAAAATATGATATAGTTTTTTCCTCAAATTTTAAGATACTTTCTCTTTCTAAAAGCTAAAATTTGAGATAATTTCTTTCAAAATTTTGCGATATTTTATTTTTCTAAAAACTTTTATGTACTTTCTCTCTCTAAAATTTAATATAGTTACTCTTTTAAATTTTAAGATGCTTTCTCTGTCTAAAACTTCAAGTTTGAGATAGCTTTTCTCTCTAAAATTTTGAAATAGTTTTTCTCTTTAAAATTTGATATAGCGTCTCTCTAAACTTTGATATATTTTCTCTCTCTGAAGTTCAAAATTTGAGATACTTTCTCTCTCTAAAACTTAAATTTTGAGATAGTTAATCTTTCTCTAATTTTTTTTGAGATAGTTTCTCTCTCTAAAAATTTCATGTACATTAGTTTCTCTCTCTAAAAATTTCATGTACGTTCTCTATTTAAAATTTGATATAATTTATTTCTCAAAATTTTAATATACTTTTTCTCTCTAAAACATAAATTTTGCATTAATTTCTCTCCCCAAAATTTTTGAGATAGTTTCTCTATCTAAAATGTTTTAGGTAGTTTCTCTCTCTAAAATTTGATCTAATTTCTATTTATAAAATTTTAATATATTTTCTCTTTCTAAAATTTAATATTTGAGATAGTTTCTCTCTAAAACTAAAAATTCGAGATAGTTTCTCTATCTAAAAATTGAGATATTTCTCTCTCTCTAAAATGTTTTTTAGCCATTTCTCTTTCTAAAATTTATAATAGTTTCTCTCCAATAGTATAAGAGTATTTTCTCTCTCTATAATTTTAAGAATGCTTTCTTTCTCTATAACTTAAGATTTGATATAGTTTCTCTCTCTAAAAATTATTGAGATATTTTTTATTTCTAAAACTTTTAAGTTACGCTCTTTCAAATTTGATATAGTTTCTCTCTCTAAGAATTAAAATATGAGATTGTTTCTCTCTCTAAAAGTCTTGAAATAGTTTCTCTATCTAAAACTTGAGATAGTTTTTCTTTCTAAAAATTTGCATGTACTTTCTCTCTCTAAAAAATGATAGTTTCTCTATCAAACTTAAAATTTGAGATAGATTCTTTCTCTAAAATTTTGAGATAGTTTATTTCTCTAAATTTTTTGATACTTTCACTTTCTAATATTTTAACATATTTTCTCTTTCTAAAATTTTAACATATTTTTTCTCTCTCTAAAATTTAAAATTTGATATAGTTTTCTTTTCTAAAAATTTTGAGATAGTTCATCTTTTTTTAAAAAATTTAGGTACATTCTCTCTCTAATTTTCATACCTACCAAATGCTCCCCATGTTTCGGGTCGAGGGAGTAAAATCCACGAGCCTTGAAAATGCAAAAAACAGGTTTTGGTGGGGAAATGAAATCACGAAAAAATAGGTCTTATTTATGTAATTTTGATTTTCGTGATTTTAAGTATCCTAGTCGTTAAACAATTCAAAAGGAAGATTTTGACAATATCCAAGATATTGAAAATCGACGCCATAGAAAGCCATATACGTAAACATGCCCTTAGTATAAAAGCCGGGGTAGGGGTTTTCTGATCTCCTTTATCCATCCGTGTCGGTCCCACTACCATTTTGGGGATCAAACTCTGGTACTTTTATGCCATTTATGCTGTCTCGTCCATACACATGTCGTGTACGGTGCCATGTATCTTGATTCTTGCTTATCCGCTTCGTCGTCCGTTTAAGCATGGTTTGGAGGGCAATAATACCCTGCTTTGTACGTTTTTTTGGTGCCGGCTTAAGTTTCTTTGGGGCCTCTTGTCCATGAGCTATTATTTTGTGCTCCATGGTAGTTTGGGACCAAAAATATCTCTGTGAACCACTGTACATTTTTTGTGAATTTACTGATGTTCAAAAAAAGAAAGAGAGAGAAAAGAATATAGTTGTCTACATAATTTGGATGATAGAAAACGTAAGGGGGTTTTAGTGCCCTATTTCAAAAGTTGGTGGGGTTCCATCCCCATATGGTTTACATAGACTTGAGGGTCTATGTAGACGTGTTTTAGAGGTGGGGACTATTGTCTTTTTTTTCGTTTTTTATGTTTTTCATATGGAATTTCACTTTGATTTGGGATTATTCACCGAAACTGTAAACAAAATCCCTTAATGGACAAAATTTGGTTATTTGAAGTGTGAGTCGCATTGGATCCCTATTTTGAGAAAATGCCCAACTAGAACTTGATGAATCCCATAACTACAGGCCTTGGGTGGGACGAAGTCTAGGGTACAAATTGACTGATGGAATTAAATTGTATTCAAGGGGAGGTCAAAAAGTGGTGGTAACCCTACTTTGGTAGATGAGGAGGTCCTAAGTATTTAGGTTAAAAGGAAAGACTAATAAATTTTAATGGCTTCTTGGGTACCACATTAATTTAGAGGAAATTAAAATTTGCCTCCATCACAATCATTGTAGAGCAAGAATCTACAACTTATGGGAGGTTGAGCTTTGCACATAATTACCACATATTCCTGGATGATAATGTCCCTAGGTAGGGGGTGTTTAGTTCTAGGGCTACTCTCCATGTGAAGTGAGGCCACTTCCAATGTGAATTAAGTTCTTCTGCAGAGATTTCATGAAAATCAATATGTTGAGCACAATGCAATGAATGTGCAGGCTTTTAGGGAGAACACATAAACATAAAAGATAATGTGTTTTAGGTGGGATGCTTAACTATAAAGATATACAATTAAAGGTTTGTTAGCTGATTGCCCCTGTAATACAGTATGGAACTTCAATTCTTTACGAGACCTTCACTTATGCATTAACTTTTTCTAATTTGTCCAACTCGAAGTCAGTCATTTGAAAATAAGTGTGGGACTGCTATGGCTTATTTGGGGCTCAAGGGAGACAAAGTTGGGTGCGTTGATTGAGGTACTGATTCAACAATTTGTCAATGGCATTTTAGCAGATGGTCAAAACCGAGTTGAGGCAATGCTTGTGATTACGGTTGCCTTTGTGATATGTTTTGTGTTAGAATATTTAGTTTTAATTTCCTTAACTCTCTCATTGCAGTTAAGTTGTGCTCATAGGCAGTAATGCTGCATGACGTTTCATTGGCATTAGTATGAATACTTTCTGTCATTAAGCCTTCTCCATCTTCATTATCCACAATTGGCATGTTACCGAACTGTTTCAACAACTAGGAGAAATCAACTTTGAGTTTTAAAAACATCTATAAATAACTGCATTATGTTGAAAATAGTTGGGAAATTTTTCCTATGAGTTTTCACAAGTGTTGAATGAAAGACCATGCATTCTATAAAAATATCCAATGAATAAACCCAACATTGAGACCTGTTAATCTAGTGTGATGTTCTCTAAAAGCTTTTATGAAGATGCAAATCAAAGAATGTTTACAATGCTTCACTAGATATGATTGTATCTATTCTCATCAAGAAACTAGATAGCATCTCACACTATCACGTCATGGGTACTAGGCATTAAATACCTTGAAGAGTAAGAGAATCTCATTCTTGTAAGCCCATTGTTGGAACACGTGGTTATGACACTTATTTTTTGCAAATGTTTCAAGTTTTAGGCCTTGTTCAAGAAAGTTCCATCCATAATCCTGAAGTTCTTCAAGCTCATTTTGAAGCATCTATCTGAAAGAGAAATATGAGCTCGGTGCAGACGATTCATGTGTGCTTTGTTGCACCTTTAAATGTTAAGAGGTTTATAATTTTCACTTTAGTTACTATGTCTCGGTTTTTGCAGCAGCAAAAGAGCAATTCCGGCAGTTATATGAAACCCTTAAACATAGTTTCTAGGACCCAAAAGCTTATTTGCAAAAACCTTAAAGACACGCACCATTTACAAGACTTGAAATTTCTTTTCGAGTCAATTGATCACATATTAAAGCAGAAGAAGAATTTCATAGTCTCTAACATCTTACCTACATTATTGTTTTCTTGCTAATGTTGGTGCAGGTGCATGGGGTGTTGAATGTGGTAGGTTGGGGAATTCTCTTGCCCACAGGATTGCTATTTCCCAGGTACTTTCGGGAAGGAGGGATCATTAATGAGAAACAAGATAGTGGACAACCGATAGATAACATAAACAAGAGCAAAAAGAAAAAATGGTGGCTTGCTGCCCACGTGACAATCCAATTGACTGGCAGCATCCTCGGAACAGGTGGTTGGATTATTGGATTGTTGCTTGCGAGTTGGTCTAAGGGGTACCATTTTGTTGGGCATAGAGTTTTGGGCATCATGATCTTCATCATGGCATGCTTACAGGTAAGGCATCTGCAACATCATTTCGATATCATTGCGATATGCATTTGCACACCACACCAAAAGACATGGTAGTTACCATCTCTTTTGTTATTATTGCATGCGCGTGCGCACATACACATATGAAAAGTTTATGGTGTCTTTCAATCACTAGCATGAGTTCATGATGCTTAATAAAGGAAACTGCTTGAGAAAATCTAGGGGCTTGTGCAGGGACTTGCTCCACTTCAGCGGCCTAATAAAGATGATGAAAAATACTACAGGAATTGGACCATTTATCACCATTTCATGGGTTACTCGCTGATTTCTATAATTATTGTCAATATTTATAAGGGCTTTCGCATCCTTGATCCACCAATTCCTTATCAGTGGGCATATTATGGAGTCCTTTTCTTTATAGGTGCACTTGCTCTGTTACTCGAGATTTTCACTTGGGTAAGATTTTACAAGTCGAGATTGATATTGGATTAAAAACTTGATCAACTCGAGATTTTCACTTCGAGACTCGATATTGGCTCAAAAACTTGATCAGGCCAGTGTGTGCCAAATTCGGCAATACCTTTCTAACCTTTAAGAAACCTTTAAGATTCCCTAGCTTATGTGAAATAATTGTGTGCCATAAAATAATTATGTTTAGTTTTTTCCTCATTACATATGCTTTTGTTTGGTTTTATCATCTTCTTGGGGGAGTTGAGTTATTATGTATCATGCCAACTACCTAAGTTAAAATAATCAAGTTATAAACTCATACATGCTTCACCATTACTATGTGATGGCCTTCCCAATATGTTTCTTTGCGATCGTTAGATCACTTATCTTTCTTTCTCATGTGGGGCTTCTTATCCAATCTTTATTGAGAGTATCGGTATTGTGGCCTTCATGGGCTGTGGCACTAAATAATACAGTGTCATAAATCGATGTATCAGGGTTTAATGGAAATACAAAAAAAATATTATTAAAAATATATTTGTCTTGTTGAGTCGCTCAACAGGAATTGCCGACATGACATGCACCTCCTACACACAAGAAAACATAATCTAAATCGAGAGAAAAAGCTTTCTTTTGCTTGATGTAGCAACGGTAAATGAACCCACAAAAGAACACCATAAAAAAATACCCAAAAGAATAGTTTAGAGGGAGATTATCTACCTCTCGCCCTTGAGTCTACAGTAAAACTACTAGATTCTGCCCTCGCCTACTCAAGCTCTAACCTTAGGCTCTCTTTCTCGGTATCAAACCGATTCCTCAGCTAGTCCTTCTCTATCTCAAGCTCCTGCCTCACCTGAGGACCTTGCGGACCAGAAAACTGGCGCAAGACTTGCTCTGAGTAGTCAGCCTCTATGACATCCATAGAAATGCAATGCGATCTCATCTGAAATACCTAGATGGACTCATCATAGAGGCTGGTCACCTCATCAACCACAAGAGCCCACTCAATCTAAGAAGGTTAAATAAGAACAGGGTATTAGGTAACCTAAAGAGAATTCGTACCAAATAAGAACAAATCATTGAAAAAATAAGTATCGCACCTCATAAGAGAGTGTACAAGAAAAGGAGTGAATGTAGTACATATCGCAGAGCTTGAAAGCCCATAAGTAGATCTGATGAAACTGATCAATCAATCGACCAAGAACTAGATGAAGGTTAACAGTATGCTCACTCACACAAACCTAATAAAAAATAAAAACAAAATCCGAGAAAATCCAACCTTAAGAACAAAAGGTATGGGAAACATGAAAAGAAACGAAAAGCCTAAAGATTCAAAAGATGAAATACATGAAGGAAGATGAAGCATCCTCTAAGGTAGCACCCTCTCCCCAAAGCGACCTGGTGTAGACATCGATATAAGGAACCCAAGATCACTGGGCCCTAGGCTACCCTCTCTAAATACTACAGATCTCTGTTGGCCCAAATGACCTTAAATTTGGCCTATCCTTTCATTGCGTTAGCAAAGAGGAGTGAACGAAATAAAAAGATCAAGAAGACAGGTAGAGAATGGGTTTCATCCTCAGACAAGGGATCCATATTTCATTCAAATCTACAAGATCCATAAGCAATGCATGCTCTCATAATAGTAACGCTGGCTCCCTCTCCCAGCGAGCCCGTCCAACTATCGTCCTTGCTCTCTCCTCATCAGCCCCCAAAGAGTTGGAATCCTCCTCATCCTCACATTCACTTTGTCCTCAGAATCCTCTTTTGGAGTTGTCAAAAGGAACGTCCTCCTTAATTGCGAATGGTAGACCTGTCCATAGCATCCTTACCCCCACCGAACTTATCCTCCAGGTAGTTAAGATACATAGTATCTCACCCTTTTCAATGGGTACAGCTGGATGTAGTCCTACCAATGCCTCTACCTCCTTCACAGGATTTGCATATGCGTCAGGAGGAATGTTAAAAAGAGGCTTTCCATCATAATGGACTGCCAAAATCTTGACTTCCTCTAGATGGGGGCATCATTTATCTCTTTGGTAATGGGATCGCGTTTGTCTCCAATCTCCAACAAAAACAAAGTTCAGTAATGAGGGAGTGGTCTAAAACGAATGGCCTAATCCAACAAACCTCCTAGCAGCCTATCCTGCTAGATCTTGAACCTTCACTGGGGGATAATAACTCAGTCCATCTCCTAATGGTAAATATATGACCCCTAGACCTTATTGAAGAAGTCTTGCAAAAATAAAAGCAAAATAATAAAGACCGTTAGGTCTTTGGAACCATAGAAAATGTTAAAAAGTAATCCCAAGCAATGACCTTGTCAAAATCACCCTCCAAAGATAATCTTAGTGAAGGCAATATCTTCTCCAACACAGGGCAACTTCGTAGAATTTTATTCTGCCCAGGAAAGGGATCTTTAGGGGAAAATGATTAAATCATGAAATGTATGCATCCTAAGGTGTTCTAAGGGATAGCAACAACAACGCCCATAAGGGCAGTTTTGAATAAAAAGGAGATAAAAGGTATCATACTAAGAAAACAATAAAATTTTCTTGCTTTTTTCTATTTTTACTAGCTAGAATACTTACAAATATCCAAATTATAATTTTAACTCAAGAAATAATACAAAAAATAATTCTAAGGATTCTCATTTGCATGCCACATAGACAAACTCTTTATTCAAATCTAAACAAAATACAATGCATAAAGATGAGATCAAGAAGCATGGAATAAGAACATTACCAAAATAACATGCCTTATAATACATCCAATGACTTGTTAGGCCCCACTCCAGATCTCCAATACCAATGTGGTATGTGAAATAGGTCTTTTACTTTCTTTTAAAATCGAAGAGCCAAGGAAGAACCCAAATCAACGTGAGAGCGTCACCTAATTTGGTTTTATGGGATAAGGCACCCTCTTAAACCTAGGCTACTACAACCGTGGGGAGTGCCACCACTTAAGTTTAGCTTGGGGTGTGCCAGCTCTTTAGCCTTACACTTAGAGAGAGAAGGGAAGATATAAAAAGAGGGAAGGAGAGAGAGTGGTGTGCCTAGGGGGGAGAGAGATGTTTAAAGAGTTGTATCTTAGGCGGACGCTCAAAGGGGGATTGGTGGCTATTTATAGACGTAAATAGGGCTTTTAGTTTTCAAAGATTGCCATCTGAGGTTTAATCTTGACTGTCGATATAGGGAGACCCATAGTATGAGGAGATCTTTGCCACCCATTCCTTTAAATGGAAGACTCTAGAACCATTATCACTTGGTTTCCTTGTCCTATTTCCATCAAATTTCAGGTTTTATAAAAAATAGTATACGTGTAAAAAAATCTCAATATATGGAACAACTTACTATGAATTTACTCAATCAAGGCTTTTTCTACTTTGATCAAAATTCAAACACAATATCTTTTGATTCTTTGTTTGCTTCCAGAATTCTAGAAACAAGCAACAAGAGAGAGAGAGATGTGAGCCATGGAAGGCGTGTGGGACCCATGTGGGCCCCATGCCAACTAAGGTCGGGTTCCCATGTGGCGGTCCTCGTTCTTTACAGTGCCCCACTCTCTCGTAATAATTTTAAAGCATATAAAATAATTTTTATAATTCATATAATATTTTAAAAAACTAAAAAAATAAAATTTAGCAAAGTAAAAATTCTTTTGAGAAAATAAAATATATAAAGCATTTTTTAAAGATTTATTTTAGTGTTCCATAATTCACATAAAATATATATAGAAATAACTAAATAGGAATTGGATCCATGGGGTCACTGAGACACTCCATCTATATTAGCAAACGTGAACTACTATCATCTTTTCAAATTGACACGGGGGTTCATGATTAATTCATCAAAGATGACAATACGGTTATAGTCCATGGATTATAAGTTCCCCCTTGAGGACAAGACGTCCCTTTGAACATATACATACTATTCAGCACATGCACACATCATACCCATACGAGTAATTTCTCAAAGACTGTTATCATGTGTCCATATTGTTGGATGGTAATGATGAGGATTTGGCCATTTTTCTCTTACGTCCATCGACCCCACATAGGGGTCACGGGGTCCTTTGGCCAACAAACCAGCCTGGGCATCTCTCTAACCTTATCAAGGGCTAACCCCACAAATCCTCTATGGTTTCCATCATGCCTATTATTATAGGATTTTAGACTTCATCCCAAGCCAAGCCTGTCAAACTACGGTGAGTCACGATATCTAAATATTCCCCATTGGTCCTACTGGACCCTAGTATCATTGGAATTTACACATCACTAAAAATATTTTTACATGATTTCTTGAGGTCTTTAAATGGCCACAAAACCCAACACATCCATTCATCCAAGAGGCAGTAACATCAAGCAAAATAAAGAAGGGAAAGAGATGGAAAAGTATGAATGGCTTACGTCCTAACAATGCTAATGCTTCTAAACCTAAGTAGTACACATCACGTAAATAAAGAATGCTAGACCCAATAACTTCAAATCAAAATGCCTTATTATCTTTTTTGGCCCCCTTTACAAGTGAAACTTTTTGAAAATAAGCCAAATTGGGCCATTCACTCAAAGCGTCGAATACTTGGGAGGTAAAGTCAAAACAAAAAGGAAGGTGTTATACATTCGAGTTCATATAGACCAATGAAGGTCTTAGGATGTTAATATGGCATTCTATAATTGAAACTTTCAGAAAGGGGCAAAAGTTCTCATTCAAACATACAATCAAACATTTGGGGTATGTTGTTTGTGTTTTTAGTCGCAGGGCTAGATACATTGTAACGAATGCCCGTTGGAAGAATAAGGTGACCATGACACAAGCAATGATTCCAATGCATGCATGATGAGAAAATCCCTCGGAGATGTCTCTCAGCCATATATGAGACTAAGTGCATTCAAATGAACACTCAATAGATTGAAGATGTTGATACACAACAAAGGCCATAATGCATGCTGGATAGTTATCTTAACACACTGTCGATAAGATACGAGTATGGTTTTTAATACCTACTCAGATATGCCTCAGATAAAATGAAATTTGTGATATGTTCAAGATTCGTCATACAAAGGTCTTAATGAGTCTAAAGAATCTAAAGAATCTTGACTCGTTAGTTAGTCCCTATATGTTCTAACTTAAAACTGATAAATATAAGATGCCCATAGTTTGTCAGCCAAGCATATTCAAGGTTGGCATGAGAATCAAAGCCATCTCATTTGAGACAAG